ATAATAAATACATTATTGAATGTATTGAAATTGTTTTTTGTTGTGTGACCTCCTGCCTATGTTGCAGAAATATATTGCAACTGTTGTGGGTCAATTGTTTTGTTGTAGAATAATTTTCAAATTTCCAATAGATTTATATATTATCTTTCGATACACTAATCCTAATTTAATAAAGATTTTAAATAAGAGTATGTATTTATTTTTGTTACGCTGTTTTTTGAATTATTTGATTAACAGTTGCCACCATTTCATTCTAGGGGAAGAAGACAATTTGTTTAGTAATTTGGAGTAACTTTTAACAATTTAAGATTGAAGACCTTGAAAATCGGCACATATCAATTTCTATACGGAACATGTTGCGAAATTTATGCCGTTTGTTAAATGTAACTGTCAAAGTAATGTGTGACCTAAATTTATATTTGCGATCAGAACTATATATGGCTTTTAGAGAAATATTTACAAAATGAAACTCATGTGGAAATAAAAGTGAATTCTCTAGCACATGACACTACCCAATTAGCATTACAACAATTGACAGCCTTTTTATCGAATTTATCAGGATGTGTGCAGGAAAAGGGAGGATTAAAACTCTGGAATGTTCCCCTTTCCTAATCTCGAGATTTGTCAGGTTTTACCACAGAATTTTATCCACTTTCTGAAAACAATGACAAATCTTTTAATTTATTGTTAATGCGCCAGTTTGTATATCACATACAATTTAACAAGTAGCAACATTATTACACTGATAAATTGTGTTGTTTTTTTGCAACCATGTACTCACATAAACATTAAGGAGTTGGGCAGGTGACAGTTCATAGGGAAACATGACATATTTTTGTAATTCACATTTTTATAAATGTTCAAAAAGTGAACGGTTAGGGTGAAAGGTTTGTTAATAACAATGTGAGAAGGCATTGATACATGGAGATCAAGTGGTTCTTATAATGTGATATTTTTACAAAAAATTGTCATCGTAGTAGGAATTGTATGCTAACTAGAAATTTTCCATAGATATCTGTTTTATCGAAAAATTCACTATTAAATCAACCGCAAATCGACTGAAGATTTTGAGCCGATCCAAGCAGACAATGGGTCTCGACAATATTTCAAAAAAATTTATTCAATTCAATATATTCAATCACCAAGAGATTCTCTATACATATTTTTCGATAAAATCTACAATTTAAACAATATCTCTAATCTCATGGACAGTTGCAACGACTCTGAAGTTTCTTCGATTACCAATCTATATTAAACATCGATCTATATCTCTCTTATGACTTCAATTCTCGCGAATCTGAAAATTCTTGTCCCTGAATCACGAGGATCATTTATAGTTTGCTTCCTCGGCTCGTAGGCAGCAACAACGAAGACGGGAGAGCGTGCCACGAGAACTTTTCTCGTTTCTCAATGAAATATTAACCTATTCATGTTCAGTTCCTTTAATAGAACTTTCGAGAGATTTTTCATCGACACCGAAAGGCCGAGCCAACCGTTCCTCCCGTTCTCGAAAAGACGCACGTTCCGTTTTGCCAGACCAGCGGAAAAGCTGTTGCACAATGCGTTCTTTATTAATAGTTCGAATTAAAGCGAGCCGAGCATCGGAATCCGATCTTAATTGGACGATGGTGGCCGCGTGTCATTCTGGAGGTGCCATTTCTCGTGCAGACCGAGCGGACGTACAGACAGAAATCGAACGGACCCTAGGAGTAATTTTAAACGAAAGCGTACGCGTATCAACGCGGACGCGTCGGCTCGGAAACCTTTTCGTTACCGAGTCCGATATACCGTCCTTTGATCTATTATCAATTCGACCATGTGATCGTGTGCACACTGGTGCACTCGCTATGAGCAGTGTTTCTCAATCGATATCCAATTGCGTCGTAAATTTCGCACAAAATTCGAGGAAACTCCTAATCGAACCGTCAACGGTAAATTTACATAAATTACGATATACGTTGAGGTACATTGCAAGAAACAAAATCGGGTAGAATGCAAAAAGTGCATGAGAATGTGCAACACGTGGTTAAATAACGCTGACAAAGCAGGGAGGGAGGATCGTCGGAGAGTGGGAGTAACGTCCTTAAATTAGAGCAGATTTCGAACAGCGTCTGCGACCGTAGAATTTGAAAGGAACAGTACAGTCTGAAAATTTCTAGTAGCAACACAGTTTTAGAAGAAATGGTGATTCGAATCGTCGAGAACGACGTGTATTGAAGTTCTTCGATAATTCTCGTCTGTGATACGTTGATGCAATAATCTCTTTCGTTTAAAATTAATTGTAACGCTCGAACGATTAAGCGACCTGTACTCTCTCTCTGAGCTTCTGGGATTCTCTTAACCGGGGAATCCGTTGTGACGGATCATGCCAAGAAACGAAATCTATTTCTCCGGGGATACACCGTTAACCGGCGCGTCACGTTTAATATTAGCATCAATTAAAATTAGATTCGACTGTATTCGACCGTGGTTTTTACTCGGCTGCAACAATTCCCGAGCGTTGTTCAATCCCGCGCGGATCGCGTGTGGCAATCGCCGACAGCCTCTTCCCCCTAGGCCCGAGCGTTGCCAACGGGAACGAGCGGAGCGTTATTGGTCGGCGGTTCGGGTGCGACGCCTGAATCGTTGTGTCGCTGAAATAATTCAGTACGAACAACGAATTGCTAAATGGAAGTGACTGATCTCGGATTGTTTTCGTTTTTTCTGGATTTTTTGGAAATTCGGTGTCTCGTTGGGAGTGACAGTATATGTATAGATAAAATGAAAGATATATGTAGTGTTACTGCTTAATTGGGATATCGAATTTTCGGAAAAGAGAAAATGAAAACTTTCGAGATAAGGATTATAGTATATATATGTTATACTGTACTATATTATATAATATATATTATATTGTAGTATATACATTATACTATATTATATTATAGTATATATATTATACTATATTATATTATATTATATATTATACTATGTTATATTACCTAATTGAATGTTCGCTCGAACCGACGAAGAGACAGCGTTAATTAAACCGTATCTTAAGTACTTAATTAGATGCTATAAACCTCGGTCATATTCTGGAAAAGAAAAAATGGGGTCACCTGCATTCGAGTCGGCAGCATTGTTACGTTTATTCTCTACTTTGTTAATCTCTGTTGAAATTATTGTTTCGCTGTGTTTTATAATTCCGTTGTTGGAAACGAACTTCTCCCTTCAATGTTTGTACCCAGAACGTGTGAACACCGGAATCTGTAAACAACTCTCAGACATATTATGATATTTTATCTCCAACCCCCCACCCACCCAGATTCTGTACAATATATATAGTTCGCAGTGAATAAATCAAGCAATATGCAGGAAACCAAGAAACCATTAAGTCTTGTTCGTATGACCTAAGCCGTGTGTTTCTCTCCGCTAGATCTTATGATTGATTACGCGTTCGAGTATGTAATTTTAATTCCCCCGCTGGAATTGTCAATGAATTACGCCGCTGTTGTCGCAATTCTTTTTTTCTGCCACTGGTCTTGAATTTCTAGAACAATGCCATCGATTTAAAATTTTCAATATTATTCAATAATTACAAATCTTTGTTTTTTAAATATAATATTATAATGCTTGAAAAATGTTCCTCAATATTTTTTCATTATCTCCTAACTTTGATTAGTTTCCTTGTTCTCCAGTGTCAATTAAATTGTTTTCCAATGTTATCGTTTGTTTCAACTGCATTGATTAAGATTGATGATTAAGACTGCATACTCTGCGCAATAAGCGTCGCGATGGTTGCAAGTGGTAACGATTATTAAATATTTTTGAGCTTAAGATGTTCCGTCGACTTAATTTACGTTCGCTTTTCTCAACAACAAAGCGTCAGCTTCTCGTTTAAATAATATTTTCCTCTGACAAAGACGGGACGTTTGAAGTATTCGAAATACGAAAATGACGAAAGGGTCGAAGGTTGTATAGTTGTTAAGAAATCTGCGATATCCACACGAAACACACGTGGCCCGGCTGCATTTTCTGGTAAAGTATGAAATGTGCGCTGCATGTTCACTCCCCGATCACCGTAGCTCTATCAACGATTGTTCTCCGAATGAGCATGCAGAATTCTAATGACCGATATCAGACAGCCTTCCGCATATCTTAATTCTTACCAAGATGTTTCCATGTATTTACGAATGCACATATCTCCCTTGATATCCGCAGCGACTAAACGCAGCCATTACAGTAACAAAATGTGTATACATTTGTAGACGTTTATTTATAGAAACGTAACCCGTGGAACAGGTCTGAAACAGTATGTAAATTTCATTACCTTGCGTACAGAGTCTTATGGAATATTTCACTTAAATCATCAAATATTATAATCAAATCTGTAGAATACTTAACAGGAAGCTTGAGTGAATCACTGGTCGTTTCATTCATTTCCTAACGTATGTTTCTATAAATGCACTGAAATTATTGCAAATGATTCTTTCGACAATCTCAAATAAACAGCAGAGAGGCATCAATCAGAAGCTAATTAAGAGGAGATATAGTTCACCGTATCTCGTTTCTACATCCGCCGGCTATGTGGCTTTTTGTGGGACTCAACCTTGCACGGATTCGTCACCGAGGAGGAAGCATGAGCATTACGATTTCGTGAACTAACAAAGACGAATATATTGTAAATATTTATAGTATGCGATAGGTGCGAAAGGTCTATTGTTTCTATGCAAATCTCCATTTCGAACGTTACTTAAAAATTCAAAGCGGTTTCCAAGACCCGAGTGACTGTAACCGTTGAAAAAAATTGTTCAAAGCGTAACATAAACTTTTGGCACCGATCCAGCGCAATGTCGAACAGGCATCGGTAGATCAGCATAAAAAGATCAAGCCCGAACACTGGAAACTAACTCCATACAAGTTCCTTCATATTGACAATCGTACATTTTAAGAAATCATCAGGAACATATCAAATATGTAACATTGTAGGCTTCTCTCGACCAAATGATGAATCTTAAGACAATCAAGTTCAGTAAGCTCAAACTCTAAATTTACTATATACATACAAATTCTAATCAATTCAACAAATCTTCATCATTAGAGGGTATCCCAACTTTCCACATAGAGCCACCCTTTGTCGTACCATCATAGGACACCTGTACATGTACCAAGTAAACCATTGGAATACCCTCGTCGCAGAGTTGCCTACAACTGCAGCCCGCAACGACCAGTGTCCTCCCAAACGATGACTTTTCTCCTGACCCGCAGGTACGCTGGACAGTGTAACATGGAAGGAGTCGTCCGCGCCTCCAGACTCGTCCAGCAGCGAGACAGGGAAGGACACGCCGCCGGAGAGCAACGTGGTGCACTTCACTGTGGGCGAGGGTCCGGAGGAGCCAGCGAAGTCCTACAGCAAAGACAAGACAGGGATAGTTCGTTCCTACAGTCAGGACACCAATATGCTGTTGGCCATAGACGACAAGACTACCTCAGCATTCCTGTCGAAGACATCTTACTCGGAGAACTCATTGGACTCACCGGTCCCGGAGAGGCCAGCGCAGCAGCAGAAGGCGTCTGCTGGTCAGCCGGCGGTCACCGCGGCAAGCACAACGACTGCGATGACCACAACGTCGTCGGGCAGCCTGAAGAAGTCAACGAAGGAGCTGCCGACGGTGTCCGTGGACGAAGAGACGCTGTCCACCGACTCGAACTCGACCACGGACAACGACGAGCTGAAGCGGCGGCGACGGAAGTTCCCTCAGTTCCCGCCGTTCCGGAAGAACAAGGCTAAAGTCACGTGATGCTCGTCGTCATGCTAGTCATAACATAATCGTGCATCGTTTATTCCTTACTTAACGCTAACTCTTACGATTAGTTGGTAAACCGCGACGTGCACTTAACAATTAATCTTCGAGAACCGGTTGATCAATGATTTAGCGATTAGATACTGCCGGGTATGTACATATACGTTCACAGAGACACGGACATACATGGCGTCCCATTTCGGTCTTCGCACGAGCAGTCGGCTGCTGATCTATTCGCTGTGCAAATGGAACTCAGTCTGCTTCGAGAAGCGTCTCGGTTAGGTCGCAGGTTTTGTTATACTGAATGACCTTGAATTTAGAGCAATATAATTTAAACAGATACTTTCCAACGTGGGTTACATGTGTGATTAAACAAAAGGTTGTCTTGATGGTTTGGAATCACAGTTGGTAGAGTTGTGCTCATCGCGAGACGTTCTCCTTGAGGCAGAGTGAGTTCTGCTTTTAACATTTTTTGAATAATAAATAGCTTGGCAGGTGATTGCCAGGTAAGACTGAAATGGGACAACTCCTATACTTGGTAGAGAGGTATCTGTAGTCGTGTGGAACACATGGATTGGTTGGTCCTGTGAAGGATGCGATTTGATCACTGGTGCATCGTTGCTCGTTTAACAGCTTGGCTCACTATTGGTCTGAAAAAGATTGGAAGGGTTGAAACAAGTCTTGTGTATTATGGATAAGATTGTAATTTTAATTATTAATTATTGAGATCAAAGGGGATGCAATCATGAGTATTCAAGGGTTGAGTTGTCACGAGGATGCACCAGTATCAGACTGACCAAATGGCAATTGTATGATGATAGAAATAATTGTTAGTCCAGATGGTCAGTAAAATTGATCCCAGGACCAGCTTGAAGAGAAGTGTATTTCTATCAGTGATCGTGTTCCGCACAGCTACTGTCGCATAGGATGTTTTTGGTGCCCCGGTGTGCTCCCATTTTGCCAAATGTTTACTTTGAACCGCGAACCAACGAATACGGGTTGGCCGAGACACCACCAAAGCGACGTCCGACCTAGATAGCTAGATTGTTAAGCTCATGATACCGAAATTGTTCAGCTAAGACAATATCTTGGCACAGGGATGGGCGACCAGTTGAATCCTAAGCTGAAAACAGCTCTCTGTCTTCCTAATTTTTTTATGCTCACTCTCTCTCTGTCTCTCTTTATCTCTTTTTCCTTCTCATCAGCTTTTCTAACAGTTCTTTTTACGTTCCTTTTTATTTAGATATACGTTTTTCAGTATTTGACGTTATTACGGCTGTGTAAGAGGTAGAAGCTTCTAGAAACATACTCCTAGTGACAACATGAACTAGCAAGAGGGCTTTTTCTTAGGGTAGCACTCGTAGAAGTCAGTATACATTCAAATTTTATGTGATCTTATTTAAAGTCTCTTTGAAGAGAAAGAATCTCAATTGGCTGTATTAGGTCTCTTTTTTTAAATTAAATGTTCTTGGTGTTGCGTGTCTTCCACAAACAGTGAAACTGTCATCAGATGGATTTCCTTTTGAGTCTCTTTCTGAAGGAGCAAAGCTAAATAGTCTAGGTTCTCCGACCACTTTTGTTGGTAAGATTTTTTTATCATAGTATTATTATAAATTTATTGAAATGTACTCAGCTTATTATCACAGTGCTTCCGCAATGAATATGGCTAGGTCTAGTGATCATGGAGAAGTTATAAAAATGTAAATACATAGAAAATATTTGTGTTCTCATGATTACCAGTTCTAGTAATATCATCAATTTTGATACTTTGATCAATGTACGTGCTTTACACGAGAAGTCACAAGTAACTGCTGTTCTGAAATAATATCTAAAGTGCCGGTATTACCAGAAAATAGGGCAAGAAAATTTTCGTTGAATTTTCTCAATTTTTCTGAACCACATTTCAAAGTGTTGTGTCACTTCTTCGTCGTCCAGTCTCTCTGAAGGCCAGTAAAATCTATCCATGAACTTCCAAGAAAGTATTTTTCCTGTTCCTCTGTGACTAGGCCTAAATCAAATGAAATTATGCAACCGCTGACAGGTTTCTTTTTGAGGATCATTTGAACGGACAATTTCCAGTGTCTAGCATTATCATTCAAGGTATTGTCGATCTCCCTTACTTTGATTCATAAATGTTTATCGCTTAATTATCGCCCATCCCTGCGTTGAATCCTCCGAGACACGTTCTCAGTCAACAAAAATGAAATTCTGACACACCAAGGCTCCCTGTTTCTGTTTCCCTTCACGATGATATTACTGGTTAGTACGAATTTCTGGTAATCGCATGGAATAGAGTCTGCCTAACACATTTCAATGACATTGCGATATGCCATGAAGGTCAATGCCTTGATGAATTTCACGTGTACGTTGCAATTATCGTACAGCTGCAATTTCAATGCGACGACCTTGACAACATACTCCATAGTTATTGGAGTCAACGAGTTGAACTCCATTCTCTATAATTACCGAATCTTTTTCCCACTTGTTTTCCTTTTCCATTCGTCTGTCTTCAGGCTTCCGTCGTTGTACAGGCTGAGCACAAATTCGAGGCTCTTCCGTAGTTTCAACTTTTCGTTTCCAGCTTTTATCCATGCGTTTTAGGTCTCTTTTTACGTAAGCGAATTTATTCTCTCGGTTCCAACGAATCCGGTCGCTTCAGTTAAGTTCACCGCTTGTTCCGCTCGAACCCAAAAGTGTTCCACTTGTGAGGCGACCGGTATAGTCAACCGAGTCCCCGCGGCCGCGCCGTATGAAACAGAATTCCACTCAGGACTTCTTGGGTGTTTCTGAGAAGCTGGGAATGCGTACAACGTGCGAGCACGTGTTCCAAAGTAACCGATAAACCGTATACGATAAGGACAACCGTCGAAGCGTATTGGGTAATCCGGTGGACATTATTATGCAACGCACTATTTAATTACATTGGCATCGAATTTTGCACGGACATCTTTCCCTCGGATACAGGTTCAAACGTTTTTGACACTGGAACCACCAAATGAGTCAGAATGACCCGTTTCTAATTTCTTCTTTTAAAGTTACTGAAAAAATTCAGAAGTTCTTAGAAATTACTAAATAAATTGATTTGATAATATATAAATTAAAATGTAAATAATCAAAACGTTATTAAATGTATTTTCATAATTTCTGTGAGAAGATAAAGGAGGATCATTCTGAGTGTCCAGTAGTTGTAGCGTTCGAATGATTTTAGACACATTAAGAGTGTAAAAGATGTACGAGTGACACGATGGTCAATGTATTTATAATATGTATGTATATATATCAAAAAAGTTTCTATATCTTTAGATTGCTGTTGCTGGTTAACGTCCCAGAAAGTTAATATTCCGTACAAATGATTTGAAATATCATCCATAGGATTACCCGATGAGAAAATAAATGATTAGTCCTACACCGAACCAAGTTTCTAATCCTCTGTGGTCCAGTGACATTGTCGAGGTCAATGGAATTGTAAATAGAGTATTATAAAGCAATAACTCGTTAGAGTTCTCATTTTATAAACAAATTTATAAGTATTATTAGATTTATAAATGCAACAATGTTCAGTCACGGGCTGGAAACTCAATGGGACCTCAGAGGATTGCGATCGCAACGGAGACGCGACGAGAAAACGATTTGTGCTTGCCCCGTACGCAGATAGCTTCAAAATTGCGTTCGCGACTCTTCGATTGAAACGAGAAAAAAAGGCATTTTGTAGTCGCGTTGTCCGACTTTTTAACACGAGCGTCGTTTAACCTTGAACATTTTTTTTTTCCTTTTTTGTTCTTTTAAACGTCTCGACCATTTTATCGCGACACCTTGTTGTACTTCACTTTTAGAAGTTAGAGAATAGAGAGTTAACTTATTGCTTCCCCCCCGTTTATCTGTCATTATGTAATTCCCTTGTTCCCTCGTCGATGGGGATCGACGACAGAACCATGATACAGGATGAAGTGGTTTCCTCCTTTCGTATCTTAATTTTTTTTTATATATATTATATATATATTATTTATACATATATATTATATATGTAAGAAATGTATATGTAATATCGTATGTACAGAAGCTTAAACGCGGTGAGGCTGGAACTCTCTGAAACTTGTATCTACACGTAAGAGGTATAGTGTGATAAGTATTTGCGTGAGTTATACATCGATGTTGTCACAGAATGTGTGTGCAATTCGTACAGACAAGTCTGACAAGCCTTTACCTCAATCGACCATCCATGCATTAGTTTCTGTTCGCCAGATGGAACTTGGTGGAGGATCACCGTAAAACTGGCAGTGTCTTTACATCATGATTTCCATTCAGTTAACAAACACTTCCTATCGTTGTTATAAAATCAGAAGCTGGCCACATAATGTAACGACAATGGCTTCATATTGTTCCAATACTATCATCGCATGTTAATCTCTGAAATCTCAGTATTAAACATTTCTTACCCAGCATCCAGAAATTTAAGGTTATCGTACTTCAACGCTAAAACTGCCAAAGCAGACTGACTTGTCTCTGATTCTTTCTAAAAATCAAAATATTACCATAGGATTCGAAGCTCTAATTTTTGTATCTATAAACACAAACAATGATTCGACACGTCCGGTAGTTCTAGCGTTAAGTCAAGACGTTTCTGTTAAACGTACATACAAAAAGAAATGTTGAAACAATCCATTTTTACTTGTCAAGATGATACTGGATCCACGGATGGTCGAGATGAGAGCTTGTTGATCGATTTAGTTTCATTTGGTTCCTAAAGCACGCTCACGAACCACCCTCAGGGAACCGAAACCAACTTCCGCTTTTGATCTTCTCTTGTGCTACCTGATGTACCCATTTACGATGTATTAAGTTGTCGTGTATTTCGATTTTATTTCGCTAAGATTAGTGGATTTGGTTGACCATTGCGAATTATCACCGTATGCCACGCTTCACTCGAAGCGTTTCTCACGCGATGACGCGCATTCCTTCTTTTTTTTTCTTTCTCTCTCTCTCTCTCTCTCTTCCTGTACCGGCTTCTTACTGTCCGGGTTGACATTTAGCTCGCTCCCTTTCCCAACCGGCTCACTGACACATTTCTATCTCAGGATTGATTCGATTTAAGCAGCGACTAAGAACGACGAATTAATGACGGCTGGCTGAGTTAGGCTTACCTTGGATAAAGGTCGTTCGATTTCGAAAGCAATATTTATAGAAAGTTTCTGATTTGAGGGAACGACATAATACAGGAATTTTAATGAGCCATAAAAATAGGAAAAATGCAAATGCTGTACTCCAAGGATAAAGTACGTAATAATTTCAAACAAGGCTATATAGAATTAAATTCATGACAGTGTGGTTTATAAATGTTAATGTTAGTGTCTTTTGACACCTTCGGTAGAAATAGTGTTAACACATTCAGTGCCACATGTACCATACGTGGTACAGAATTTCTGTAAGAGAATATTTTTAAGGGATGGTCAAGAATAGTATACGTTACAAAACAGAGAGACCATAAAGAAACAATATCAAAATATATAAAAATGACCAAGAACTTGAATGTAACTTAATATTTCATTCTCTCCGTGGCATGGAACGTGTTAACCAAAACAAATTGGAACTGCAAATTTCAGTTGACAATTGAGCCACTGATTAGTCAAATCGGTTGACTCCATAAAACAGAATATAAAATAATGCAGTAGTGTATATTGATTCTGAAAATTCCTCTTTAACAATTACTCTTTCTGCAATAATTAAAACAATGATGTGCCTCTGAGAAATGATTCAAAATTTTGATTCAACAATACACAAACTGAATTGTAAATCAAAGTTTTAATAGATACATTCTTGGAGTTTCCACAAAGGACTTTTAAAAAGACAATTTATTACTGAGTAATTATAATGTTAAATCAAAATTCAAATAAATAGGATATATTTTACCTTATTGCAAAGTTTGCCATTTTTCATCCAAAAAAATTCTTCTCATTTAGCAATACTAAAACCAATAATGTCAGTTATTTCAAATATAATTAGTTCAAAGTCTACGAAATGCATTAGTCATAAAATATTCAAACTAATGAAGCTTACCGATTTCATTAATGAGCGGATTAATTAGGATACGTTCCGTCAGATTCGGACAGTTGACTGTGAAAAATGAGCGGGAATCCCCGAGCTCCACAGAATCGAACTTATCGAACATCGACTCGAGCGACCTCTGTCGGTAACTCGAACGCCTTTCGAATTTCCCGCCACCGTCGTTGACGTTCAAACGAAAATTCGCGACGTTTAATCGGAGAATGCTCGTCACGCGGACCCGACGATTGTAGACAGTGAATTATATAAGAACGTACGCCGCGTAAAAGAGCAACGGACAGAGAAAAGACTCGCGTAGAATTTCATGGACCAAGTTCAATTGATATCCGAAAGTGGATCGCGCGTTGGGGGGTGTCGAAACGATTTTCTAGGCTCAATTATAAATAGATAGTTGTACGGGAGAAATTGTGATTAAGGGTTTAGAGGAATTGCGGGGGTTGTAACGATCGAGAGGGATTCTCGTTTTTAAAAGTATTCTAAGAGATGATGCGCTTACCGAGATCCGGTCGATCGAGATTTTATGAAGATGACGATGCTTCTTTTCCAAAAGGGACGGGAGGGGAAGATTCACGAGAAAGTTCTATTCTTGGGGTCGAAGAGGGTGAGAGTAAATTTTCTCTGTCTTCCCGCCTTTTCGTTTGACCCTTAACAATCTACTTTTGGATCGTAAGTGATCACATCCAACAGATCATTAGGAATCTTGGATATTAAAATGAATGCTACATTATACAGATTATAAATATATAAGTCATTTAGAGGAATAATTTATACGAATGGATATATTTGAAAGACCGTTGGACGATACTGGATTGTTAAGGGTTGAACCGTTACATTTCTAACTTGATGGAACAAACATGGCCGCGAGCCATTCGAAAGTGAACCGTTTACACACACTGAAAACTTGTCTCCGAAGCGTAATCCTTGAGCCGTTCTCTGCACCACGAACGTTTCCGTGTTCGTCATTCGCTAGAATTTTTCTTCCTGTTCTCCTCCCCCCGAGTAAACAGAAAGTTCATTCCCCCGATGGTAGAACACTGTGCAATTCGACTCTGCGGATGAGAACGAAAATGAAAATGGAACAGTCGGAGCGTGGACCGTCCCTCGAAACCGTGTGTGCCGTCCTCGGACAAGAGCCACGAGGCTCGTTCGACGCAATACCGATCGTTAAAAGTAATGTGCAATTTTCAGATTTTATAACGAATCGTTCGCTCGTTCGACGGGTGTGTAACCGGGCCGACCATCAGACCATTGTTCGAGAATAAAATGTGTCAGCTTCGTTCCCCGTGTCTTACTTCGTGTTGACCCGTCGAGTACCATTCTGGAGACTCATTTCTCCCCTTTCTCTCTTCTGTTTTCATCGAGACACCGCGTCATTACCGCTTTTAATCCTCTCATTCGCGAGACTCGCGGTGATCCCAAACTCCCGACCGCCAGTCGTTCAGCGTTTTTTAAGTGTGAACCGTTGATTTTTTGATAAATTCCCCTTTTTTCTAGAACAGTAGCGACTAGCGAGCCTAAATATTGCTCGAAGAACTTCCCCTGTAGCGATAGAACCACGAAAAAACAGAGAGAAACTCGGCAGGCGTTGGCGGGTGAGTAATCGTCGCGCCGACAAGATGGCGGCCGTGGCCGAACTAGCACGCCGCTTCGAAGAAGAGAACAGAGATCCGCGACGATCGATGTTACATATCACGCTCGAATTTAGATATTTCAGTCCGAACGGGTTGAACAGGTCACTCTGTGTAATCTGGGTCGTAAACTGGACCAAGTCGATGATTTAGTCGTGTTTGTACGGCGGAAAGTTTCACTCGCGTTAAGTCATTTTGCCCCAGTATGCTCGTTCGCGTGCGATATTCGCAGCAAAACGTTTCATTTCTTTTAGTACACATGTTTATTAAACAGATGTTTATCGATGCTGTCAAAAAGGCTTAAATATATTATTCTCTTGAAGATTTCAATAAGAGAATTATTTTCATCGACAGTTTCAATTGTTCGTGGGACAAAATGGGTTAAACTCGAAGTGGGTCGAGAATTTCGAATTCTAAAGTAGAATACCGCGGAGTTTATGGACTCGCGTTACGAGTTGTTTCATACAGAAAGTTCGATGTGTCGAGGAGGGTCCGTGGCAAGAGCAGTTCGTCCGTTTCGAGGATGAAGAGTACTTAATGGGTCGGGAGTAGAAACGATTGTCGTTTAACCCTTTGCGGACGAACGTGATAAAACGTTCATATTTGGAAGACTAAGTCACAGATAAATAATTTAACACTAAAACTACCGAATAACATTTCAGAATGTTAATTCTGCAAGTATTTGGATTAACACTAGGTTTACGGAACGCGTCAAAACCTTCAAATCTCTTGAAGGTTTCGTACATTTCAAAGAATCTTCGTGCGCAAAGGGTTAATAGGGCTCTCGGGCAAAGTTTAAACAATTGCCGATCGTGTAAGTGGAATTTGCAAATGTTCAGAGCGAAAGAGAAGGCTGTTTGCATGTGGTCTGATACTTATCGGAAAATGGCGCTGGTTGCTTACTTTCGACGAACGCTTCAAAGGACTGTGGCTCGAATCAAAGGAACAGAGCTGGATAAAATTCTCAATTGCTATTTAAAATATTAAATATTATATAGTTTATGTGAAATAATATTTTAAATACGAACCCGAGAAAATGAATCAAAGCAACTCGAGAAAATGAATCAAAGTCGCTCGAAATGTTTCGAGGCGAAGTCAAAAGTATTTTCGTTATCGTGTTCGAATGAAATAATGTTTTATCCAGCGCTGATCAGGACGAACGAAACTTCAAATTTCCGTTATCTCTGTTATATTATCGTTGGTAGACAGCGCGAGTCTTCCTTGTAACGCGAGAGACCGATTTTTCGAGAATAAAGGAATTACGAGAAAACGAAGGAGATCGACGGAGAATAATTATTTCGCTTCTCTTCGCTGCACGAGAAATATTAAAGAATATGTTAGAAAATAGTCCAAAGATGAAACGATAGCTAGAAATGTCTAAGAAATACTAGAAAATTATAATTTAAACGAAGTAATGAGAAAACACGTCAATTAAGAAACAAAGCTATTTTATAGAAATATCTCACCTATCGATGCATCATACGAAACTTAATATTATAAACGACACTAATTTTGTTACATCGAATCAGGTGACTATGAAGTTGAATATTTAATATTTCAAATTAAAGTTTAAATCAATTAAAATTAAATAACCGCAGTATACGTAATATTAAAATACCTATCTTCGACTCTAGGATAAATTTTTAAAAAATTCCTCGTTTCTCAATGAGAATTCATTTTTGGTCTGAACTGATTCATTTTTTGGTGTTAAAATATTAAAAGAATATTTCATAATATTCCTATCTCTCCGCAGATTTCTATTGGACGTTGGGGGTAGGAGAAGCGACAAAGTCCTGCTTCGTTTCCGATGCTTGGTTTCTTTTCCTTTTATTAGAAAAACGTTATTAAATAGTTCGCGCCGGACACACAACACGCAAAACACGCTCGAACGAAGAAACGGCGGTCGCTGTGAACGAACAATGGAAACGATCGCATCGAAGGGGGTGAACGTATCCTACCACAGAATTAAGATCCAGTAAGTGGTAATACTATGGAGCGTCTTTCTCTCTCACTCTCTCTCTCTCACTTTCTCTCTCTCTCCCTTCCTCTCCATCTCTCATTTATGTAAATGCAAAAACCGCGTATATAAACATTTGCACACTACAGTGTGGTCCAGTAATTATTGTCACCTCGAACACAAAGAAATCTTGCGTTATCTCCAATAATTTCATCAACAAGTTTGAATTTCAATTGCAATTACATCGGTATTCAAATTCCAAGGAATAATCAACAGAAACGATTTCATGGAATATAATCGGCAAGTGACAATAATTACACCACTCTGTATAACGATCTTATAATCCTCTTTTAGGCTAAAACGATCTACCTGCAACCTAACAATCAACTAGCTGCAACAATGATTAAACCGGCATTAACACGTTGACTGCCAAACAAGCATTCACCGAAACCTCCACGCAATCGAAATAATTTTCATACTAAAACAGAAACTAACCGGTCGAAGTTCTTCGTGACGATTGCTCTACTGTTCTTTCTATATCTAATGCATCTGACAAAATTCAGTTCGATGTGTTAATCTAGTGTAACGTCGGCTATTAACGAATCGAAGGAGACATCAACACTTAGCACTCCTTTTGTGATCTATCAGCAACTGCTAATTTTTATATTCCCAGCGAAAAATAATAATTTTAGGGCGGTTTCTTTAAGATTCATTCACCCTTTGCCCTATTTCTTTCTGAACTGTCCAACCGACTACTTTGTTGCTCATAATTTATTGAAAATAAGAGAAAATTCCAGTCTTACGCTATGTCGATGTATGTTCCAAGGTATAATCATTGATGACTATAGTTATTGCTCCACGGTATTCTGCGTGACAACCGCAGTTCAGTGGTAACTAACAAATCGTTTACAAAATAAATTAACCGTCGGACAGTTAACGCTAGAACTACCAAATTGGCCGGGACGAACCGTATAAACCGTCAGTCTTATGGTAAACGCAAAACGCAAAAATTTGTTAACGGGCGAAGCGACTGATCCCCATCTCCCCGGTGAGAATTCCGAGTTCACGGAAGGCGAACGAACAAAATCAAGAGAAACAAACGCACCGTGTGTCCTTAGAGTTTATCAATAAATACTTTTAACTCGCTCTACATCTCAATCGAGAACTCTACGGAACGTCAAGTTCGACGTGAACTTTAACCCTTTGCGGTCCGAAGTGCTTCTGGCTTCTCACTTTGAGATTTCGACGTTGGTTCATTCGATTACGGCTTAACATGACGTTCTATTTATTTATTCAATATTTGGGAGTCATTGAAATGTTACCACTAAATGGTACAATTGTGATACTACAAATAAATATAGAAAAAATTGTTAAAAGGTAGAGGTTGCGATAAAATGGAATGTCGAGACTGACTCGACACAGGACTGCTAAGGGTTAAAGTTACACGACCTCCGAGGTCTGCGTCTATGGTGAACCTCCGAAAGACAATTGACCGGTCTAGGATCCCTTTCTCGTTTCTCTCTTTTTTTTTTACCAAGAGAAACTTTCTCCTCGGTCAGGACTCTTTGAACTAGATTAACGCGCGTCAAATTAACGTTCGCTACCAGCGGTTGTTTCAGTGACTCTGAGTCACATTTGAACTTTTTCCTTAAATTTTTTCATTATTTTATATTGCATTTCCAACAGTTTCTTTGGAGCTTTTAAAATTTGATGGTATGATACGTTATAAAAACACGTGGTGCAATTAGAGTTAATTATATTCTTTACAATCCAATGAATCTAAACAGAATATTAGAGAGATGAAACTGAAACTGAGTTCCTAAATATAATGTAGTTTATCGTTTCTAATAATATCCATTCATTTTATTTTCATTGCGTAAAATATGGGATTACGACTGTTAAATATGTGACGCTGGTAGCGTGTTAAGTCGGTGATCGCCGAGTATTGTTAATTCGCGAGGTTAACACGTTAACATCCTTGGTTCAATTGCGATTAGACTGATTCCGATGCGCTCATGGGAAATTTCAAAGTGCACATAGAATGCACAGGATACTAAGAAAGACAGACGATATTCAGACTAGTGATGTTCAGAGTATTCTCAAGGGAAAATGATTTTCCATCGTAATTCTATTTTCCTAGATACGTTCTTGAATATTTGGACTTGTAGAAAGATCCGTGGTTCGTTCCAAAGGAAATGCTGATGAGGTCCTCGTGGACCTCAATTTTGGCAGTGAAAATACTGAAGAATACTTCGGCAGTTTCAGGACGACTGTTAACACGTTGAATGCCACGGAGTCAGCTCAATTAAATGATTTGAAAATATTTCTATATTGTAAATAATAAAATATTTCTATATAGTAAATAATAATAATAATAATAAAATGCTACCTAACGCAGGCATTCAGCTAGGTGAACGTGCAATGATAGTGCGATTCAATTCAATGATTTAACCCTCTGTAGGCCCATGTAACTTTAAAGTCACACATCAGTATATTGGCATCTTGTTGATTTATTTTGATGAAATTATTGAAGCTATTGAATACATTGTTAATTCGTATTCATATGTGGATACTCATCAATTTTGTACTGCATACATTTTGTTATAATCATGAATAAAAATTTGGCCCGTAGAGGGTTAACATCATATCTTCCATTTTGTGTATTTTGCTCTGACATTATGTGGCATTCAACGTGCTAAGTTGACAGTACGAGTAAGTTCACTGGCTCGCAGTTGACACTCGTTTATCCTCGGCATTAACACTAGATTCACGGAGCATTGAATTTTAAACATTATCTGCTAGTGTCTGTCGATTTTGATTAATGCAGTGCTAACATGACTCCTAGTCATCTACGTTTAAACCTAATTTCAGAAATCTAAACGAACATCAATTGTTCTATAAACAGTAGAACATATATAATAATATATTATTATATAATATTATATAAATAATAAATATATATAATATTATAATATAATAATAATAGAACAAGCTAACAACAAACATCCGTGAATCCAGTGCCAAGACTACTTTCCCAACTGTTATGGCGTTACGTTTGCGCTGGACTGTTGGTACTATACGTTCACAGTGTACTCCAACAAGAATACAAGAGTAACTAGAGTAGAGGTAAATAATAATTTAACAAGCCTACCTAAAGAAAAAGAAAGAAATGTGAACATGTATAAACATCCTCAGTCCAATGATAACCTCAAACGACGACGAGTGTAAAGGTTCGCTTACAAAGAGATTGCACCCCGGCAGTTAACGCGTTAAAGTCACGCGCCGTTTCCACGGCGGCGTTCAACGAATGTGACTACAGTACGCATCGGCGGCGCCTGGCGAACGGACGGTCAACGTAGGAGATCGTTGCACTTGTCAGTTCGGATCGTTCGTGTCGTTTCCGGGAAGACTCTCGTTGCTCTCATTTTGGCTTCGTTACTTAGCTCAACCTACCGCTGTCAGTTATCCACTGTCAACCCTAGCAAGATCAAGCCTCGAGACTGAGCAGCAACGCTCCTATAATTCGCCTTCGAACAACTACAGCCACACGGCAATAAATAATGTCCTAAACGCTACCCAAGAACAACTCAACGTCTCAACGATCTCAGGAACCTCAGTCTGTCCAGGGTCAACGGGAGTGATCCTCTACTCTCCAGCAGTGCACGCGTCAGGACGCTTAATACTGAAACCCTTGATCAGCGCCTATTCTCCCACTCCTTCCCTAGGTCTGCGCGTTGTCGTCGTCCTGTTGGTCGCTGGTTTCAGCGGCGGAGGGTATGGTCGCGAGTAGCCTGACCGCCAGTCTGCTGGGGGATCCAGGTGGCTCTGGCTCTTGGATGGCCAGCTGGCGCGTGAGCCTCGGCTTCGACCTGGCCGGCCTGGGCGTGTTCCTCGCGGAGATCTCCAAGGAGGCGCTGGACCTGGAGATCCTCCACGTGCTGGTGCTGGCGGTGGTGGCCGAGCCGGAGGAGTCGTTGCGCGACGAGCTGAGGTTCGAGTCCTGCGACGGCTTCCTGGTGATCAGCCAGGACGACGCTCTCCTCTTGGGGTCCAGCAGCCGCAGCGGTATGCCGCAGTGGTGGGTCTGCCGCCAGGAGTCCGAGCGCGACGAGGAGAAGTTCTCGCTGGAGTAGACCGAGGAGGCTCGCTTGTGCTGCTTCTGCTGGATCTCGGCGATCTGGTAGGCGTACTGGTCGCTCCTGGTGTGTCGCGGCCTGGTGTCCTTCGCGCATGGCCACAGGATGCCCGTGCCCCATCGCCGGTAGCCCGAGCACTGGCCAGTCTCGAGCAGCCTCGAGTTGCACGCGCACGGCGTCTGATTGTCCCTGGACGAGCGGTCCATCAGGCTGTTAGTGTTCACCGGCGTCTGCCTGTTGCTGAAGTTCGAGCTGTGCCTGCACCTGCCGATCCCCCTAGTCACCCTGGACTCCTCGATCGCCTTGCAGATCAGCACGCAGTCCTTCTTGAACTGCTTGGTGAGGATCGCGTAGAGGAACGGGTTGCAGCAGGAGTTCAGCGGCAGGACGAACACCGCGAACACCTTCGCCTGTTCTAGGGACACCAGCTGCAACCCGAATGTCGCGGTCAGGGAGAAGAACGCTATGGGGGACCAGCAGAGGAAGTCCGTGAACACTAACAGCGCCATCCGCTTGGCGATGCGCGAGTCGTTCGAGTTCCACGCCTGCGAGCCGCGGATCGCGCAGTACATCTTCAGGTAGCAGCCCATCAGGATCAGGAACGCCACGCCGTTGATCAGCATCAGGAAGATCACGTACGCCAGCGCGGCGTTGCCGGTCGTCTCGAACGGCAGGCAGATGGCGAACTTGCGGTAGTCCGAGACGCCGATCAGCGGCAGGGTGGCCATCGACAGCGCGAAACACCAGCCGACTGTCATGATGTAGCCCGCGTGCTTCAGGGAGAGACGCTTGTTCAGGTGCATCGCGTGAGTTATCGCGTAGTTACGCTCCAGTGTGATCACTGCTAGGGTGTACACGCTGAGTTCCGAACTCAGCACGCCTAGGAAGCCCGCTAGCTGGCAGCCCGCTGATGTTTGCCAGGGGATCGCGTACATCCGGAACTCGCCTAACGTTGACGCGTCCACTACTGCTAGGAGACCTGGAAGCATGAGTGGTAGTGGATTATGATGTAGGTAAGGAGATTGTGGATCTTATTAGAATATGGGAAGTATCTGAGGTTGAGTGTTTCTTATGACATTTGTCTTAAGACAGTTGAATACTTATGACAGTTGAAAATATAAATTTGCATGAAGATCCACTTATAAGATTTCTCGCAGTTATTCAGCAGATAACAGATGCTTCTCTGAGAAAGTACTATAGAGACTGATTCAGCAATACACAAACTGAATTGCAGACCAACTGAGGTCTCAATGATTGTTGAAGTTTCTACAGAGCAGTTTCAAAGAGACAGTTAACTCTTTGAACTCTGTAGGCTTCAATATTGCACCAGTTATATTAAATATTTGGATAAATCTTAAAAAAGCTACCCCAAGATTATCAAATTTTTCACACATCCAAATCTTGCAGTAAGAAGATTATATTTTCATCATGGATAATATAAAATTAGTTAGAGTTGCTGATAGAGTATAAAACCATCTGGAGTGCTAAGGGTTAACTCTGCGCAGGGATCTAACTTATCAACCGATTTTATCTCTGGGGTGTCTAGTAGTAGCGCGTTTAACACCTGCATTCTAAAATCCTTGGTCGATGGTTATTAAGCGTTTAATGTCCACCGTTTTCGACGTTTAGTGCGCATGAATATGTTATGCTTCTAGCTGCGCTATGTTTAGCCCTCAACGACTTACGACTGACCTAAATATATGCCCATAAAAAAATCCGCTGCAGCCAGGTTGCAAACCAGGAACCGGGGAACGTCCATCTTGCTCCTGGAGAATATTAAGACGAAAACGACCGTGCCATTGCCGAGCATGGCGAGCAGAAAAACTACCCATACTCCGCAACGCAGCGTCCACCAATCGAATAAATCTTGACATGGCAGAAAGGGACCTGGAATCATATAATACATATAATACATATAATAATATATTTCTAAAATATTTCTAGTGAAAAACTTCCGAGTGCAAAGGGTTAATTAGCTAATATTTTCTTTTACACGTTTGTACAAAATACATGAAACGTACCTGGTTGAGGCAGGCACTGAACGTGCGACGGCAGCGTCCGCGCTGGCAGCGTGACGCGGCTGTTCTGCTCTTCAAAATAATCCTCAACATATGAGGGCAGGTTACCAGGGTACGTAAAATCTGAACCAAAGTTAGCCCAAAGTTCATTTATTCGCGAGCTGAATTTGTCGGTCATGTTATCTAAACAAACGTCATCACTTCAGTGCTGCAAAGTATCGGGGTTGAAGAGCTGAAGATCATGGGGTGAGAGATGTCTGAGATGTTTCTGTGTCACGTATGAGTCTGTGTGTTCCAGTATGAACGATTCTCCCAGCGAAAAGCGAAATTATCAAAAGAAGCAAGTCGAAATTTCGTGGACCGCTTGAAAATTTCCAATTGTCGGATTCTCGCGCGCGGCTTTGCAGCAATTAAGTGTCGGGCAGCCCGCGAATCAAATATGCGAGGAATCAAACGGAGACAAGCAGCGATTAAGGGACACGTGAAACTTCAAACTAAAAGGCTGGCTAAATTTCAAAGTAAACAGAATAAGCAACAACCGGGGAATTAGCGGAATTTCAGATTTAAAAAGGAAACAAGCGTCAACTCAGGAATTAGGTAAATGTCAAGTTTCAAAGGAAACAAGCAACAGACTAGCTGAATTCCGAATGTAGAAAGAGGAAATCCGGCTGATGGAGATTCGTTAACACGTTAAGCGCCACGTCAGTCACTGCTGATTGACGCTTCTGAATGATTAGAAAACAATCGTAACGTACAAGATAACCGATGCGAAATGAAAACGTTTAATAATGTAACCAAGTTGACAATACTGTAATGCAAACATTGTAGCGAATAATTCATAATCGTTCCTGCTGTTCGTTGCTACAAAAAGAGAAACTCTATGGGAAAATATTTCGTAAGCAAAATATAAGCGACATTTTCATGACACGGAACGTGTTAACGACTCCACGGATATTTGTATTTCGTGTGGCGAAGAGTCTCGTGTACGATGATGCATCAATGGCGTCGATCGAAGACGACCGGCGACTTACTCAGCTGAGGCCAGATATCGGAGAAGCTCGAGTTCCATAGGCTCATGTCGAACTCGTTGTCGGTCGGGAACAGGATTGACTCTTGAACGGAGGATTTCGTGACCGGCTCCTCCACCTCGATGGAGAGAAACGAGCAACAATGGTACGCGTACGAGAGCACCATGGTCTGCACCCTGGGGAACCGTTCCGGCGAGGGGAACTCCCTGAGCGCGGGGTTATTGAACGTCTTCAGGTGCAGAAGACCGGACAGCCCTAACGTTGGCAGCGCTGGGAACACATTATTTCCTAGGTTTCTGTAACATTTTTGGAAAATTCAATCCGTTTATCGTCGTGACTCTTCTGGTGCGTTTTGTTAACGCTGCGATTGTCAGTCAAACTAAACCATTCGGACGAAGATTATTTGAAATGTGCGAAACCTTCGAGAGACAAAGATAAATTATATATCAGTTGCTTAATTAATAGAAAAAAGGGAAACCACGTGCTGATCTCTTGCTGTTCGAGTAATTAACACTAAAACTACCGAGCAATTGGAGTTATTTCCAATTTTAAAATACTTCCGAGTGCAAAGGGTTAATATACAGGTCAAGTATCGATCATCTTTAACAATTATATCGTGACCGAGGAACTTACAGGTCTTCCAGGTGCTTGGTCTCCTTGAAGGCGTCCGGGTGTATGTACTCGATGTAATTGCTCTCCAGGTCTCTGAAACATCGAACCCTCTTTTTCAAGACGATAGCGTTGAGCCATCATCGGGGGACTAGTTACAAGCGACGTGTCACTTACAACACCTGCAGCCTCGGCAGCCCGACGAACGTGTCGCTGGAAATGACCCTCAGCTTGTTGTTCGACAGGAGGAGATCGTGCAGCAGGTTCAGCCCTCGGAACTGCTCGTCCAGTAACGAGGAGATCTGATTACTGGCTAGGTCCCTGTGCAACACGAATCCTCGTTATCGTGACGATCTTGTCTTAACATGTGGCAAGCTGGGAGCAAGTATTCAGTGAGCAGTGAATGAAGTGAGTAGTAATTGAGTAGTCAGTCGAATGAATAGTGAATAGTAGAATAAATAGCGAATGAGTTGGACGAGCAATGAATAAAATGAGCAGTAACGGAGCAGTCAGTAGAACGAATAATGAGCAGTAGAATAAATAGCGAATTAAACGAGCAAGTAAGCATTAAATACAGTAACTACTGAAAAACTAATTACTCCGATACCTGGTGAGTAGAATGAATAACAAGTAGATAAGTACAACGAATAACCCACAGATCAAAGAGCAAACGAGCTCAGTACAAAACAGAATACGTCGAGTAGAGCACAGTATAAAGACAATGTTACTCACAGAACTCTCAGCTCGCTGCAGTTCCGCAAATCCGGCATCTCGGGCAGATAGTTCGACTTCAGATCGCTGAAGCAGAGAAGACCGAAACACAGATTCAAGCTTCGAAACACAACAACCCGAAGATCTACGATATCGTTCGACTACTCACAGACTCTTCAATCTTGGGCACTGCTCGCACAAGTTCGCCGGAACGTTCGTGATTTGGGCCCGGTCTAATCTCAGCACCTCCAACGATCGTGTCCCATTTAGATTCGGGAATATCCGCAACTCCTTCAAGTTCGAGAGGATCCTGAAACACATTACGGGGAGATCGTTACGGACTAATATCTCCGGCCTGATCTCGATAAGCTCCTCTTTAGCAGCTTATCCTCGAACGGCGCCTCCGTTTCGTGCGCTCTCGCGTCCCGAATCGGACGCGAGCTGGCTCCCCGCGTCGGAGAGGACGTCACGAGAGGAAGAAGACGGTAACATTCAAATTTTTCCTCGAGTACGGATAACCAGAATCGCTTCGCTGGCTGTTCTTCGGCCACCGGCTGAGCCAGTGGCTCTCAACCTCGGCTGTGCTCACACTTTACGGCTTTCGCGCGGATGCGACTGTTACGGTATTAACACTAGACTTCTTCTCGTTGAAATATTGAAACGATGACAAATCATTCTCCGAGGGATTATCGAAGATATTCTTTTCGCGAACAGAATGATAAATTCGTCGAAATCTTAGAAGATACACGTTTCTATAGGAAAATTAGAAAAAGCCAATTCGGTTGCTGGGAAGTTCTAGACAAGTTCTGATATTCTATGGCAAAATAATATTAAAATTCGAAACGAGGTGAAATTAATCAGTTAAGTTCACAAACGGCGCAAATAAGCGATTGTCTTTGGAAAAGGGAAGACGTTTTCGTACTCACAGCTTACGAAGCTTCCGAAGATTCCGAAAAGCGTCCTCGTGGATCTTCTTGATGGGATTCCCGCGTAGATCCAGCGACAACAGATTAGTGACTCGCTGAAAGACTCGTCCGTCCAGCGTCTCGATCTTGTTGTTCGACAGGGACCTACGGAATCGGACGGAACATAAACGGATACGATTTTCTTTGCTTCCTCTTCTACGTTGGAGAAACAAGAGAACAAAAGAAGGAGATTTTCCGTGTACAGAATGTCTTGCTCGCGGATTTATTATATATAGCACTGTATACTGTATATATATATATAGGTATATACGAGAGTGACGTAATTTGGGCCAAACTTTAGAACATAACAAACAATGCAGTATACGAAATTACTTAATTATTGATAAAGAAAATTTGAGTTTACCTGTTGTATAATTCTAAGGTTTACAATTCAGCTCAGTTACGTGGACACCCTGTATATTTCACGAGTTCCTCGTCACCGCCATTTTGCGTTGCCTTTGGAACTATTGGGAGCACTTTGATCTTCTAATTTGTGGAGAAGTTGAAGCATTACATTTCCAATATTCAATTGGAACACAATGAAACTAGATCACTTTTTGTAAGCATATTATATAAGTATAATTTTTCTATTGAATTGATTTTATTCGTGACGTAAACATAAACGCAAAATGGCGGTGGTACGTTCCGATGGAACGGTGACGGACGATTTCCTGCGACGAACTGTTTCACAGCGTGAACGCGATCGAATGAGAGAGAAGACGATTAAAAAGAGAAAAAGATACGGGATCGAGTGCCGGGACAACGATCCGAGCATTCCGTGGAAACGAGCGAAACGATACGATTGTAGGGAAAGAAGTGGTTTGCATAGGATTGTAAAAAAAAGTTGTCAAATTACATTTTACTTAATCGATGCACACTTACAGGTCTTCAAGGCCAGAGAGGTTTACGATCGCGGTCGGAATTTTTGTTAAATAATTGTCATCGAGCTCCCTACAAAGCAGACAAGAATTACAATTTTTAAACGGTCGCGGACCGTTTCTGGCCTCCGTTACGGAACCAAAGTAGAAAAAAAGGAAAAAAAAGATAGATAGAGAGAGAGAGAGAGAGAGACATAAACGATCTAACATGTTGCCGCAACGACAGTGCGTTATTTGTCTCGTGCGTTCGATTTGTTTATTCTGGGGCGGGACACTCACAATACTCGAAGGCTCGTCAAGTTCGCGAATGCATCGTCGGCGATCGTGTGCAAGTGATTTCGTCGGAGTAATCTGAAAAATGTAGAGAAAGGTGAAAGCGGTTAATTATGGAGATTTGCTTGCATTATTTTTTGGGAGAATTGGAATGGAATTTTCGAATCTGGGAGGAATAAGAAGCAAAGGTTGGAGGTATGAGTAATGTCTACTCAGGGAGAGTAGACTGAGTAAATAGGGGGAAATGCGGAGAAAGTAGTGAGAGTAACTGAGAAATGAATGGAATCTTGGTGAATATTTACTGAATAGAATCTTGGTGAATGATTAGTGAATAGAACCTTGGTGAGTGATTACTGAATAGAACCTTGATGAATGGTTTCTGAATAGAATCTTGGTGAATGATTAGTAAATAGAATTCTGATAAATGATTGGTGAATAGAATTTTAGTGAACGATTAGCAAATAGAATCTTGACGAACGATTACTGAATAGAATCTTGATGAATGTTTACTGAGTAGATTGAGTAAACTGAGTAGTTCACACTATTTTAAGTAAAATAAGTAACCAACCATAAACAGGACTATAAATTCAGTAAACTACTCACTGAAGCCAATGACTACAGTGCCGAGTAGAAAATCGAATAGACTCAGTAACAATCACAATCGTCAACAACCTCAAACAACTACGAACCCGAGTAATTAAGTGAAGTAACCTATATTAAATAAACAAACGACTTACAACACTTCAAGACTGGAAATTCGCTGGAAGGCACGGACTGGAATGTCTGTTATGTTGTTGTTCGTCAGGTCTCTGCAACAAATCGAAACGAAACCAATGAAACGGGAATACGGTAATTTGGAAATTTCGAGAAAGCTTCATCGGACCGTATGTCGAACGTTCAGCGACGAGAAACGAAAATAACGGAGGCGAGGAAGTTGACGCGCCGCGGTGCCCGTGCACGCGACAACGCGACAGCGTCGAGGTGGTCCGAAATAAAAAGGACCGAGCGAAAAACCGGGGGAGAAAGAAAAGCAAAAGAGACGAAAGACGGTACGGGGGTGGAGAAAAAGGAGAATAGTAAAAACTCGTAAACCGAGAAATTTATTGGCTACTGTCGCTACGCCCTATATTTTCAAGTGTGAAGCGTCATTAAGCGTTCCTTGACGAGCTCTCCCCTCCCCCACTCCGTCGCCACCGCCAATCGCCGGTGCTCCGATGGCCACTCCCCTCCCAGTGGTTCTCAGTCAACGGAATAATTCGTATTTTTAAATGAAGGTAACAGTTGTATGGTAAATGTATCAGTTGGTTCGTTTAGAAGTAGGAATTAGTCTTATTATTCTTATTATTTTTCTATTCTTGTTATATACTTCTTATTATTTTTCTATTTTTATAATTTTTCTGTTCTTATTATCTACTTCTTATTATTTTTCTATTTTTATTATCTACTTCTTATTATTTTTCTATTCTTATTATTTACTTCTTATTATTCTTCTATTCTTATTATCTATTTCTTATCACTTCTCTATTCTCACTATTCACTTCTCATTATTTTCTTACTATTATTCCTTCCCACTAAAAAATAACAATTACTTTCCCCTTACTACACAATCAACTTTCAAGACTGACTAATTCATTACATCATAACATTTTCAAATACACTGAACATATCATCTCCATCGCTACTTTCATACAACAGTAACTTAACAATTCATCTCACAAAATTGATCAGATGCCTTCACATTCATAGCTATAAACACTTCTACCAATCAATACCTACGTTCTCAAGAAACATTTGAAGCGTTCACAAATTTGAGTCTTCAAGATTGCTTTGAATTGTCCGGTCTCCAACTGTTATTCGTCAATACGGTCACAAGTAGCCAATGAAAATTATAAATAACGTACTCAACGAGTGACCACTCTTGTCGCGCCGGCCGTCAACCAGCGGACGGACAGTAGTAGAAATGCGTGCCGTTTACGACGGACTAATTCTACTACGCTACTACTGACGCCTCGTCCGACAAACTGTCGAAGAGTTACGGATATTCTAATGGCGCTTCCGTGTCGCTCGTCAATCGTCGCGCTCCGCCTCTGTCTGTCACGTGGCACGTCTCCGGAATGTCGGGCTTGTTGAAAGCTTGCTGGGAAAACAGTCCCTTTTCGTCTATGAATCCCCGATTAACACTAGAACTACCGTACCAGTCGAAATCGCTGGTTTCGATATTCTTGTTTTGCAATTATCGATATTTTAAAAGCATGGAGTATTCGAAATGATCTTGGAAATAAGTAATTTCACTTGAATACTATAACGAATGTCTGAAGAAATTGAAAATAATCTGTTAAATAACGAACACAATATATTCATTTCGATGACAAACAGTCGTACGATATCATCTTCCGGATTAACCAGATTCATCTAGCAAGAGATTATTATCTATTTATTTCTAATAATCTAATGAATATATTATTATTCATTTACTTTTAATAATACAGTGACTATATTATTATTTACTTATTTTCAATAACCTAACGAATACAATATATTTATTTCGATGACAAACAGTCGTACGATATCATCATCTTCCGGATCAACCAGATTCATCTAGCAAGAGATTATTATCTATTCATTTCTAATAACCCATTGAATATATTATTATTTACTTATTTTCAATAACCTAACGAATATATTCATTTCGATAACAAACAGTTGTACTATATCATCATCTTCCGGATCAACCAGATTCATCTGGCAAGAGATTGAGCACGAAACCGTGCCACCGCAATTCCCACTGCGAAGATCGAGCTGCATCTGTTCGCTCGTTAGCTACCCGCGTAGCACAGTGTTCGATACAGTGGAATTTTGTTCCCGATCGAACCGAACCGTTAAAGTAGCCGACGCGGGCTGCTCATAATTCAAAGAAGAATATTCCGCGCGGTCGTTTCGAGTGACGCATTCGCGCGTCCGAGTCACGAACGCGGCCGGGACGGCCATTCTATATCCGTCGTGTTCAAGTGGTTTCGTACTCGATATCGGCGAATTTATGCGGCCGTTAAGGGGTAACCAGCGTGTAATTGATACTATGGCCACCATAATACCGTCATCTGGAAAATCACTTTATTGGAGGGGCGTTCGGAACGACGCACAGAATTTTTACAGATTTCCCCGCGGTCTCGTTCAATTAATTCTCGTTACATGTAATCCAATTATTGCATAATTGGAACATAGTATGCGTATCGCGTTATAGAAACGATGCAAAATTGTATGAATTTTCGTGGGATATCTTAGGAAACAGGAGTTTAACCCTTTAATGTCGACGTTTTGGTGAGATGAAATGTATTTGGAAGAGTGAGGTGCAGAGGAATGAATTAATTAGTCAAACAATTTCAAGTAGAAATAGTGTTAAATATAAACTGAATATCACCTTATTATTGTCAATGATTAACCTTTGGAATTCACTCGAATTCACGTAGATTCAGTGATATTTATGATTGGTAGATAGGAAGCTGGTCTTCGAAGAGAAATGATTCAACAAATATATGTATTACTTTGTAATCAACTATCACACTTAAAAAGAACTATAAGCATAACATATGCTTAGAATTTTTCTATTTTTCCAATAAATTACTGACAAAGCAGCCGTATCGACCAGAGTTGAGAATTTTAAGATGACGCGTATACTCGTCAAACACAGTTAACTGGCTAAGTGCTCGGTAGTTCTAGTGTCAAAGGTAATTAATTCATAATTCCTATAATCCAGAATCATCTGTGTACTTGGCACAACGGTTCGACGTTTAGAAAATCTTCCGAGAGGAAAATTTCGTTTCATTATGAAAAAGCGTTCTGTTTCCTCGGATCCTGATATTTGCTCGATTTGAATTATTCAAAGGAGGCGGCCACGAATCCTTCCGAGACGTTCCGTGTATCCGTGATTCGAGGCGGCAACTTATTCGATTCACCTGTCGAGAAGCCGTCGATCGAAGAACCGCGAACGAGAAGTTGGAAAATATCTTTGAATTCGAAATCAGAAACGACGGGTGGCAAAGAGGGGAAAAATTTCCGCGACTCCATGTGGTCTCCGTTTTCCCCGTAACAATTCCTACACATTGATCGAGGCTGGCTCCCACGCACGCGCACCCCCGGATCCTGTAAACTTATGGAAGGAAACGACAGTTTCCCTTTCTTTCCTTTTTTCCCCTTTTTAATGCCACGGCGTCTTCCGCTGCGTCGTTCTCCGTGGCCCCCACGTTTAACGCTGGGCTCAGGGAATGCGGCGATTTGACGCATAGAGGATTTTATAGTAAAATGTGTTTTGTAGTGAAATTCTATTTAGATTTTGTAAGAAAATGCTATTCGGTTTTATAGTAAAATTGAATTTTTATGGAAGATTCAGTTCAGTTTTGTAGTAAAATGCAGTTCAGTTTTACAGTCAAATTCAATTCTTATAGAAAATGCAGTTCAGTTTTGTAGTGAAATTCAATTCTTATAGAAAATTCAGTTCAGTTTTGTAGTGAAATTCAATTCTTATAGAAAATTCAGTTCAGTTTTGTAGTGAAATTCAATTCTTATAGAAAATTCGGTTCAATTTTCATAATAAAATAGTATTCACTTTCATAACAAAATTCAATTCAGTTTTATAGTAAAATTCAATTCAATTTTCATAATAAAATAATATTCAGTTTCATAACAAAATTCAATTCAATTTCATAATAAAATAGTATTCAATTTCATAACAAAATTCAATTCAACTTCATAATAAAATTCAGTTCAATTTCATAACAAAATTCAACTCAATTCCATAATAAAATTCAATTCAACCATATAATTGCAAAGCTTACTTTTAAAAACCTTATCTCACATTCTCCTGAAAAATGGTCACCGATACCAGGTCAATCACCGGTGCCTCCACCTTAATTCGAATAAAATTCCATAACAAAATACAAACGTTGTTCACCACCCTTCAACAATACCATATTAACTACAAATAAGACAATTCGACAAGGGAAACTCTAGATATCTACAACGAATAAGTCCTAATCACACCGCCACAAAAACGGGACCTGAGATAATTCGATTTTCCCACGCGTGTTCCGAAAAAACGTTGATTCCGCGTAAAGATCCGCAGTCCGATAATCGGGTTACACGTTCCGCGCAAAAACTTCTGGATCACTGAATCGTATCGAACGTCAACGGGACAGACCGCCGGGAAAATTCGTGGCTTTTACGTGATTTATCGGTGCAGCCCCGCGAAAACCCGGAGGGAGATAAATCGTCCCGCGAGATTCCCAAATACCGTGACCGCCCCTGCACGCAAACCGGTCAGTATATCTAAAATTAAGCCGGGCTTTAATATACAGTGGCGTTCAAAAATTCCCTCGATCGTTTCTGGATCTTTACCTCCGCGAAGGCTTTAACACTTTAACCCTTGGCAGTCCGGTCAGACTCGACGTTTCATTTTATTGCAGCTTCTTCCTGTTTTAACAATTTTTTCTATTTTTATTTGTAGTATTCAATTTTTTCTATATTTATTTGTAATATTCAATTGTTTCTATATTCATTTGTAGTATTCATTTGTAGTATTCAATTTTTTCTATATTTATTTGTAATATTCAATTGTTTCTACATTTATTTGTAGTATTCATCTGTCGTATTCAATTTTTTCTATATTTATTTGTAGTATTCATTTGTACCATTTAAAGGTAACATTTCAGTGACTCTCAAATATTCTTGAATAAATAAATATAATAAATAAATATTAAACAATATTATATAATATTATTAATATTACAGTATTAATTACAGTATTATATTTAAT